CTGACCCCGGAAGCGGGGGTTTAATAAAAAAAAGCATCTTATCTTTAATCCATACACATGAGCTAACCTTTACCTTTTTTTCTATCCTCAGGAGCCCAGGATCCACCAGACGGCACCAGCATGACCTTTCCCCCCCCCCCCCTTGAAGCGGGTACTGATGGATGGAGACGAGCCCGTGCACCTCGATCCAGTGATGGGTGTTCATTGCCCCCGTAACCGAGTGCCCAGGCGCCATCTTCTCGATACGATGGGCTGTTCAAGGTCATTTCGTAAGGCGCGGTCCATGTTCTGGGGGGCCCGGGGGAAAGAACGACAGGGATGTGAAGGGACAAGGGGAAGGTTGACAGGGGCAAAGGGACTTGCTAAGGGAAGGCATTGCTGGGGGGGAAGGAGGGGGGGGTCATTTCCGTGCCTGAATCGGTGACCCAAAGCAGCCTTGGTTGGCGGCAGGAGGAGCCTTGGGAGCCCACAAGCGTGCTTGGTGGAGGTTAGGGGTAGGCAGCAGGAGCAGTAGCGCAGCCAGCCCCTGAGAATAGACCGGCCTCACGGCACCGTCGAAGAAGGAAGGGGTGCAGATTTCAGGGGTCCACCGATCCAGCAACGCGCCGTTACCAAGGGGCAGCAGGTCGCACAGGCAGCCAATGGCAGATGGCGTCCCAAGTCTGCGCCCCCCCAGATACAGTCGGCATGAGGACGCGTAGGCGCTGTATGTCCTGTAGGCGTGAGCGGTGCCTCAATTGAGCCTTCGCGTTCGCCGCGGTGCCGTGTCATACCTTATGCAAATGCACACGCAGCGCAAGATTCGTACCATGTACGCCAAGATGCCTGCATAAGTCCGCAGCCACCCCCCCTGCTCATTCCATCTTGGCGCATGTCCCAACGCTCAAAACCACCTCGCTTCAGGCATCTGGAGGGGGGGGCGCAGGCACCAGCCAACAGGGGCCGGTTTTGGGGCGGCATTCCGCTCGTCTCTCGTGATGACCTCGCCCCTCCGTTCGTTCCTTGGCTTCTCCTCGTGTTTGGGCATGCCACGCCTTTCCCGACCTGTCATCGTCATTTTCCATTCCATCCATCAGGCCTGTTGACTCGCCTTTTTGGTCATTCTCGTTCACTCAGCATTCAGTTGCTGGCATGCGACCGCCCCAGTCTCTCGGTCGCCCCTCTTGCGTTTCGTACATGTACATGGAATATGTACATGTAAATGCCCATGTTGATGACCCCTCCGTACGACCTTGCGACCCGACCGACGCAACACGACGGTCACAGCAGCATTTCTGAAGCGCCTTACTCAGCACCCAGCCTGCCATCCGAAGCACGCTCGTGGCAAGTGACGAGATGAGCACGGGCACGAGCACGGCACGATTCGATACCGTTCGGCCACCCGCCGTCCGCCGCTTGTCCGCCTGTGGTCGGCGCCGGGCGCAGATCCCTGCCGCACATCGCTGGGCCCTGGCGCCAGGCTGAAAGAGTGAATAGTTGGGATTTTCCCTTATCATCGCCTCACGAATGGCTGTTCATGGGGGTGCAACTACCTCTTGGTATTCCATGTGCATGTGACCATCTTCCATATGGGGGTTCAGATCGAGGGGCAGCACAGCGTGCGTTACGTAGCACTGTGATTTTCCAAAACACCGAGTCTAGTTGGTACGAGGGCTGTCATCCAATAGATACCTACGTCTTGACCCAAAGTCGCCGTCGAGCCTTTGAAACGCCCTGTCGGCCAATTCTTCGATCCATGGATTCAAGCAGTCGCTTTCCCTCCAGCTCACTTCCGCTCGTCTTGTTGGCTGAAGAAGATAGTCGTGGGTGTATGTTTGAGACAAAGCCGTCCTCCCAGGCTTGCCAGGATGACCCATCCTCTTTGGTCATCTTCCTCATCTTCCTCTTCGCCCACCTACCTTTGGCGCCCCCCCTTTTTCCATCACTTTTGTGGCTCCTGGTGTCTCGCGCCCAGATCCCTCCTGGATCTTCATTTTCAAGCCGCCGTCTCTTCACCGTCGACCCAGCGACCTTTGTTTTCTCACAATCACGTTGGCTGTCGTCGGGACAGGACCACAATACTTGTGCCCATCCAACAGTCGATCCTGACGGCACTCTTCTCCCTGGATGACGATGGCAACTTTTGAGTTTGCCGACTTTGTGTGTTCTGTTCCCATCAGCTGCCGATTTCTTTTCCTTGTTCCACCCATTTCCTCCGGATGCCAGTCGAAACGCCCCGGCTGCTGACTCGCAGACAAGTCCGGGCAGAGGACTCTGCAGGGCTCTGCGACAAAAGCCTGGCCTGGCCTGGCCTGGCCGTCAGCCGTCAGCACATCTCGACTACTCCATGTCTCGAAGCCTGCAGGGTTCGGTGGTCAGCTCGAGCGACTATCAGCCAGCCCGCACCCTCGTCTCTGCGATCAGACATTGGGAACCCAGCAAAGCAAAGAACGATTCTGAGAAGCTCAGATGGGGAATTGATGCACTGCCACGCCGTGTTCTTCGTCTGGCTACCCCGAAAGACTGATGGGCCGAAAGACTGATGGCGCGTCAGGGTCTGGTCACGTCCCTTGTTGACCACCCCTCCTGCAGCCCTAACAGAAGAGTCTGGAAGGGGATGAGGGAGGGGGGTCCCATTTGGTTCGTGTTGCCCCCATAATGCACCCCCTCCAAAGTTCACGGGACCTTGATCTCGGCGCGCGGCGCTAGCTAGGCGGCCTCTGCTAAATATATCACAACCGCTCGAAATCGCCCGAGTTCATCTTGCCGACAAAGACAACTTTCGGTCACGCGTCAGCGACCGATTTTTTGCCGCCATCGTACCAACGAAGATCTTGTTTCCAAAATCTTCTCGAACCCTTTGACCCGGCATGGTTCGGGCCAAGATGCAATCATCAGCACTGCTCCCCACAGTCCCTTCCTTTTCTGGATCCTTGTGAGCCGAAGTCCCGCACGAACACGAGCTATCGGCGGAGCCTTGGCCCGTGCCACCCGACGGTGTCCCCGATTTTCGGTCGCTCTTCCAACCGGTAAATGACCATTGTGCAGATACATGTACCTAGGTAAGGTATGCTAAGGTAGATAGTGCAGTGCACCTACGTGGGCTTTCTTCACTGCCATGGTCTCCTGGTGGTTGTGACGTCTTTCTTTTGGCAGCTCGCCTCGCTAACGTGATCAGCGTCGTGTGGCATGACCCGCATGTTCACGTCTGTTGTTCACTCTTTGCCGATCCTGACTCTGCCGGCTGCAGCGAGCTTGACACTGCCGTCTGCAGCGAGCTCTCGTTTTTTTTCCCTTGCCATGCTCTGCAGGCGCGAGACATGGCCTACTGCGATAGCTACAGCTTAACCAACCTATCCATTAGCCATAGGTAAAAAAAAATAAAAATATAAAAAAAAAAACCCGCAACATTGCAGCCCGATATCTAGCATTTAGAACATACAGCACTCACCGCCATCGGTGTCACTTGTTGTCAGTCGCCAAGTGCCACCACGTCGTGGGCGTTCCTGTATGCCGGCAGCGCAGTGCATCGTGACACCGCATGCCGCCCTCTTCTTGGAACCATGCCGGGCCCGTGTCACCGACGGCTTGCTGAGGACTTGTCAATCGATCGTGCTGCAGGCCTCGGTATGCTGTGACACGTTGGCGTGGCGCTTGGGTCTGCCTGCATCCCCTGTCTCGTGTCGAATCACTTGACCGTCGTGTAACAGCGTGGTCATCGGGCTTTCTACCTTGTGGGTTCTCATTGTTGATGATAATGAAACAACGTCGGTACTTGCGTGCTGAGTGGTAGATCGATGACCTCATCAAAACATCATCTTCTGTGGTCTGGAAAGGATCATCAACCAGCATGTCTGGGGCTTGTACACGCTGTGCGTAGAGGCCTTTTCTTCTTCCAGTGCCTCATGTAGCTCACGCTGGCCGGGAGGTCAACGTGGACATGGCATGACAACATCAGAGCGAACTCAACGCTGGCAACAAGACATGGCAAGAGGTCCTCGGCCTCGGAGTGCCTCATCTTGCCACCTAACGTTGGACCTCACTCGACACATGTGATGAGGGCAGGCACGGTAACGTGTATCCTGCAACCGGTTCGCTGGCTCTCTCAGTCATTCTTCAAATGGCATACTTACCGAGGGTGCTGCATACCCCGTACAGGACGAACCTAGCCATGCCATACGTCTCGGCATAGCAGGTTGCGATGGCGGACTTTGGCGAATGGTATAGAATGAGGGCCGACATCTCTGATGTTTCTGGCAGTTCTATCAGTGGCATACCCCATAGCATACTCGACCATCCGCCAGAATGGCGCGTTGCCTCATCTCCGATACAGAGTTGAATGATTCCGCAACAGGAACAGCAGAGCATGATGGCCGGGCCTCCGTCGACTACCCAAAAGAGGCCGTCATCACCAGTTTTTCAGCTCTCAACTCTCTGGAGAACTGAACGATAAAGCTGGACCCTTCGGTTCTAATGAGCTCTTGTGGACGGCACGGAAGTTGCTGGCCTTCTCGGTATTGTCGCATGGTCATTACGTACGGCGATTCGACGTCCATTGCCTGTTGAAAGTTTCAAGATGCCATGTTCGCTTCGCCGAACAGTCACCCAAAGTCGTATTTTTGGCAATCATGCACCGACTCTGTGAGAGCAGCGCGAACACAATGAGGCCGTCGACATGGCGAGGCCAGGCGGCTAGACACGGGTCTGACTATGATTTGAGCACAAATGGTGATGGAGAAGACGATAAAACGAGGAAGCATTGACCACGGTAAGCGGCACGAGGTCTTGTCACCACTCAGCAAGCGGCACTCCAGCGCAGTCGACGGCTCCGTTGCCAAACCGCCAAAGCCACCCCAGAAGAAACGCATATACGAGGCGGCCTATAGAAACAGTTGAGGCTGTGAACCGTTCCCTCAAACGAACGGCAGAAACCATGGGCTCATGCATCGCAGTTTCTGGCGTCGTGACAAATGGCAGTTTGTCCCGGTATGCATGTCGACCACCAGCCAAACATCACCAGTGTGCGGTTTCCAGGGGTTGGCGTCCGTCAGGTTCGGGGACAGAGAGAGAGAAGAGGAGGGGGGCTGAGCACGGTGCTCGGTTGTATCATGCCGCCTGGCTGGGCTGCGCACACTGGGCTGGCTGACTGACTGACCGGACCGGACCGGCTTCAAGTCTGGTTACCTGGGTTGGTTTCTGGCCCTCACGGCCGTTTCCTCGCTTCATGCCCTGGCCCCGCGCTTGCTCACGCGATGTGTGCATTTCGAAAGACGGCATGAAGAGCTTGGACGTGATGCGCGTTTCACATGCCCTGGGGGAGGGAAATGGGCGGTGCACCGATGACTGTTTACAAACAAGGATGGCCATCTTCCTGGGGAGGAGGAGGAGCAGCAGCAGGAGGAAATCAAAGCAAGGGAAAGCAATATCGAACAACCGTTTGGGGACGCCATGAGGTCTTGGGGTCGGAATGGGAATGGACAGGTCCAGATTGGGGGGGGGGGGGGGGCTTCCTGAAGGCGTTGGCTGAAAGATGACGGCGGCGGCCAACTGCAGAAGAAAGTAGAAGACTTTCTTATTAGGGTAATTGGGCCTGAGACTCGTTCGACCTTTGAGGAGAACTGCTTGATTAATTGGGGGCTCTCATATGGAGGTTTTCCACGAATGGGCAGATTATTACCCCGAATGTGAGAAATAGGAGGTTTGGTAGCGAGCGGTATTGTGAATGTAACCCCGATGAACAAAGGCATCAGAAGGCGCAGCTTCGTCCGACGTCCCGAATCTGAACTGAGGGCCAAGGAGGGAGTGGCCCGCGGCTCGGAGGCAAGGTAAGGTAGAGACGGCTAGAAATGACACCTTGGCAGGGGTTCGCTTGGAGAGGTGCGAACCGAGGGTGTGGGAGACCATTTCATGACGGACATACCCTTGAGTATGTCAAAGGGAAGAGAGAGAGAGAGAGAGAGAGAGAGAGAGAGACAGAGGTTCGTCGTTGAACCGTTCAGAAGGGGGGTTTGGGGCGGAGTGGTTCGCTTTAGCTGTGTCGCGGATCAGACGGTGGGTTGCGGGGAGCGGCGGTGGGCGGAGCGCCGCTGTGAAGACCAAATTGGTGAACGCCCGGTGTCCCAAGTATGAAGTATGGTGGTGTGTGGTGTGCCAATGTAACCCTTCCAAGGCGGCAGCAAGACATCGCGAACGCCAGTCGAGCGGTTATGAACCTTGCACACACAAGGCAGGAAAGGTACAAACTCAGATGCCTTGCGTCTCTTGTTGCCTGTCCCCTTCTCTCGCCTTGCCCCGGCCAGGCTCAAGGATCGTCAACGAACCCACCCTGGCCCCATTTGCCCACGGATCTTGGTTTCACTGAAACGTGGGCTTGTCGCAATAGGCAGTTGTCTGCGTATGGGATGCCCTCAAACCCGACAAACTTTGGTTCGCCCGACATGTCACTGCCGCCTCCAAGCGTAAGCCTCCGACGGAAGGGAGGGGGCCCAAGCAGCTTGACGGCGCCTCGAGAAAACCCTGACATCAGATGAAGGAGGAGGAGTGAGGGCCACCGACTTGGGGTTCTGGATCATGATAAAGGGGAGATCCCATCTCGCCTCGAGTCGCGATGCATATCCGCTGCCGCCGCTTCGTTCTTTACCCACCTCGCGTAAAGTCCCGACTCCCAGTGCCGCCCCGCGGGTGAGGATGATCATGAACGCCAGTTCGAGATCTGCCGAGTCGGCCTTCCATCTCCACTTGCCGCCCACGCCAACATCACCTTTCTCTGCCCGTCATCCCGTCTCTGCTCACCCTGCCTTGATCCCCACCACTGCGTCGCGAGGCTTTGCATGTCTCGCAGCGAGAGGTCTGCCAGTCACGCCTCCTGACTCGCCAATGGCATCGAACAACGACGCGGGTCTCTTGGGATATCCCATTGCAGAACGCCACCTCCTGAGCCTTGGGATTCATGAGGCCATCCTCATCATGCTGCGTCGAATGGGTGTACCAGTTCCAGAGCCCGTGGGCTACGAACCACCATCACCACATCCGCCTTCCACGGCGACCCATACCATCAGCAGCAACACCCTTGTCTCCTCCCAAGAGTCCGGCCACGATGGTATATCTCTCTTCTGGCCGCCCGCTTCCTCACAGCTTGCACCAGAACTGAGCAGGACGCACACTCTCATGACATCCCACGAACCCGGCATGACCCTCACAGAGGCCTGGCCCAGCATGACGGCGCAGCAGAAGCAATTCGTCCGAGAGCAGCTGGCCTCCATCTTCCGCGAAGTGCGCAGCATAAGGCCGTCGCCAGACCATGTTTGGTTACCGTACAGCTTCCCTGTCCTGCCACTGCGGGACCGCTTTTGGCTACGGCAGACGACGAACCAGCCCCTACATGAGTTTGACCCCAGAAACCCTGAGTTTCGTCAGCGGTACGGCCCCTTTTCATCTCACGAAAGCTTTGTCGACGCTCTCGTCGAGAGAATCGCCGCCGTCGCATCGTTTGCACTCGATGAGGAGGAGGAGGCCGAGGTCATTGACGTGGTGATGCACCTGAAAAAGTCAAGAGGAGGCGACTTCGTGTTCACGCACGGCAACTTTTGCGCCGACAACGTCATCGTGGGCCCTGACGGGCGGGTTTTGGCCCTGCTGGACTGGTCGCAGGCAGGCTTCTATCCGAGGTACTGGGAGTGGGTCAAGGCAAAGCTTGCAGCGCGTCAGCATGGTGAGGAATGTGACAATGCCTTCGTTTCTGAGGGTGGTTTGGATGTTATCGAGCCTGGTGTCAGTTGGGAGGATGAGCTCTGGAGCGTCGAGGCTGGTTTCGATGTAATCTGGTAATGTCTGCTATGATGGTTCGTACTGGTTGAGAAGGGCATGGGCAGGACGACACATGGGTTTGTTTTCTTTCTTATGTGAGCATCAGCTCCTCGAGGACGATGGGTGTTTTCTGATTAGCTGTTTTCTTCTTCATGTGTATTATTGGTTGGTGGTTCTTCGCGATGTGGTGGTCGCAAGTTGCTGGACATCTGTATGCTGATTATGATAATGGAAGTTTTCTCTGCTTTCCCAGTTTTCTGGGACAATCTTGTTATACTGGAGCGGATCAGTGACACTGCCTCCACCCTGCCTTCAGAGTTCATGTCCTCGTGATATATCACCACATTGAGGAGTTTGTCTCTCGAGCTATGCTTCCCGAGCCCTGAGCTCAGCCTGCCTAGGGTCCAGCCATGGTATGGCAGAGTTTCTCCCTCCGTCAACATCAACTGGGTGCAAGGACGTAAGAATACTGTTGAAGACAAGTGACCAGCTTGGAAGAGCTTGACAAAACTGCCGGCTTTTGGTCAATTGCAGTTTGGAGGAGCTTGACAAGAAGGAGCTTCACAAGAAGCTAATTCGAAATTTTGCGCTTGAAAGCATGTTAACACAAGGTCTCATCAGAGACAACCAAGCCACAAGGTCAATCAGGCAGCTCAATGATCTCTAAAACGCGGTATCATCTCACCAGAGAAGGGCATCATCCATGCTGAGCTATGTGAGAGTGGATTTAAGCTCTGGGCGGACCTCGCCGCACTTCCTTGCTCTTAAAAAGGGATTTATAGCAGCGGTATGGGCGAAATAAACGTGGCGCAGCAGCACCAAGAACATGTTTCAGTGTAGGAAACACCGCATGAAGTCGTAGGAGGCATGTTTGTTCATGCGTCGCTGGCGAGGCTTGGCCAATTATGTCATTTTGTCAAGACGGGTATCGGTCGTGCAGGCTAGCGAGACTGACAGCCAAAATCAAAGTAGTCAAAACCGGTGTTACCAGGATAGACCGCTCAAGAATGCTGTTACAGGTCATCACTGCTATGAGTGAGCTCCAGGAGGTCATTTCTCGTCGAGACGAGGGCGTGTCTCCATCTGTGGCCTCATACAGATGGACGAAGCTGGTGAACCAAGTACGGGCTGTGACGTTGTAGTAAGCTTGGGGCTAAGAGATCAGCAGAATCAATGTAGGTCCCAATATCTCAACTACCGAGGGTGCATAGGTTGGACATCCGGACAGCATTGGGCTGGACTGCGGGTTCACTAGCTGCGTGAGTGGTCGGTGTGGTGTGTGTAGCAATGGTCGAAACGAAAAGGCACGTCCAATGGACCGCACGATGCTCCGCACTTCCCTCATAATTTTCCAGACCGGTCAAAAGCGAGTGTGCCATGCTTTCAATTTCTCCGGTTGAAGAAGCGAGAGGGTGCTGGGAGACGCCATGTATAAGCCCAGACTTGTTGCGATAGACGACAGTTCCAGAATGAGGGCTTGTCTTTGGCTGCACATTGGTCTTGACCTTGCGCTCCTTGATATGACAACCACGAGTTAAAGACAGATAATAGGATGTCTGAAGAGACTATTCGGCAAGAAATCGACCTACCAAGAGTCTGTCGGTTGTTGATCTCAGGTAACAGCATGCCGTCATGTTCATGTGTCAAGCTAGGTACGCCTGCAATCCACTGATGTAGAAGGCCCCGGTATGTCAAGAACCAACAGCCTACATAATTCGGGTGGCGACTTGTGCTGCCGTCTGTTCAGGTGGCTATTATGGAAGCACCAATCGGTCCAGGAGCGGGTTGACAAACCCATTGGCAGCCATGAAGCAGAACGCATCAGGTGTGTCGCCTCGGGAATGCGGGGAAGAGTCTGGGGAGCATGAGGCGGCTCTTTGACATGAGACTATGCCCCAAAGCAATCCCCTAAGTCTCGAGCCTCGACTAAGCTCAAAAGCGTACCAGTCTGCCACTTGCATGGAATTTGAGGGTCAAGAGCCCGAAGGCCGAAGGGACGCAGAAACGCTATACCATCAGGCTGCCGGCGGGTCAGTATGCTCGCTGCTCTGTTCACAGGCCAATGAAGCCCTGCCACTACTTTCTGCATATAGAAAAAGGTCAGGAGATCTGTCATGCCGTAAGATGAATCATCTTACTTCCCGTACATCGTGAGTGTGGTGTTTGACCGCCATCAGCTAAGGCCGAACACCGTATGACAAGGTATACAGGTTGGGCATCCACACAGCTCGGCAGGCCACGGGACTGTACAGTGCGCTTTTGAGGAGGGAATCGGCTGTGATCGGGAATAATTGCTTCTCAAAACTCTGCGGGTGCCGGGCCCCCTTGTCGATGCCTGAAAGATGAAGTCGTTGGCCATTCCAGGCAAAATTGGCCGTGGCCGTGGCCGTGCTTAGGCCATCCGTGATCCGAGGGTGGAGCAGCAAGAGCAGGTACAGTGGATGGCGGGGTTACATGTGCGGGGTATTGAGCGTGTTCGCTCCTTCTCCACACGAACCAACGGCGACGACAACAATGAGTGACGTGACTGGTGACTGGAGAGGACCGTATGAGTCGGGTTGAGCATGCACAGAAGAGACGACAGACTCATTTTTTCCTGCCAAGACTGCAGTCAGCTGCGAGTCTGTAGAATATTGGTGCCGCGAGAATGTGCTTGATTGCTGGAAGAATTGAAGGTCTGATTAATGAGGTTTATGAGACTATACTGCGCGCACAGGAAACTGTCTGGTGACCGCCATTAAAAGCAATCAATTTGGCTGCACCGTGCGGTAGTCATGACGATATGCTCAGAGCCTGGGCCTGCTTCCCTCGATCAAGTAACTCCCAGATACGCAGCGCAGCAAGTAGGAGATTTTGCGTGGCAGGCATCATCTGTCTACCTTACCCAAGGTACCTACCTACCTAAGGTACCTACCTACCTAAGGTACCTACCTTGCCTAGGGAAGTACTGTACAGAGTGCGCCTACTTCCTCACCATACCAGGTGGAAGTCTCCACCATAAGGTAGGTGGATGATGAGGTGCCTAGACTGGCGCAAATGCGGCGAGGCTTGCATGAGCACGTGAATAATGAAGAGGGAAGCAAGAAAAATGGCGAGAAGCAGCACCGTAGCCAGGATTCAGACGAGGTTCTCCAGCTTTTCAAGATCTCTTGTAGACCTGGATCTCTGCACTGTATTTGCACACCAGTCTTCGGGCAAGAGCAAATCTGCCAAGCGCTTTCTCAACTTTGGGCAGCTACCTCCGGCCCGGACGATCCTGACGGCGACGACACCTGGTAAGACCACATCAGGCAATGGTCTGTGCGGCCTCTATCCAGGTGTTCCGAAGACTACAAACCGCCCATGGCATTGGACCAAGGAACGTCTTTACTTGCAACAACACCATTTCCTTCATCGATACCATCATCGCCCCCAGCGCACACTCCGCCCCGCCCCCGCGCTCTCCTCCCTTGTCCCTTTTCTGGATCCATCAGCGTGCAGCCATAGATTGCAGTTTTGCTTCCATCACCTCGCTACTGGGCCCCCACCACCACTACCACAGCCTTCACCGACGACAGCCTCTGGAGCCGCTACTCGAGCGCACGACGACCAGAAGGGTGACAAGGTCGACACCCATTCGTTCGCCTCCTCCGCCGCCCGCCACACGTGTCCCCTTTATCTGCATCCCGACACACGCCTGAACAGAGCCCCGGTCGCCCTCTTGGTCACCGGACACACCACAGTCACCCTCTCGCACGTCGACCTGCCTGTTGCTCGGGATGCAGCCTGGTGGAGTGCAGTGCAGCTGCCGCCTCTCTGGAAGTCCAGACGCCAGCGACCATGATCATGGGGTGGTGAATCCACCAGTCTGCCGTCCTGCCGGTCTGCGACTCGGCCGGCTCGCGCGCTGTTGCCCTGAGGCCTCCGCATTTCTCATCAATGCAGCTTCACAATGCAAACCAAATCCGTGCCAGCACATCAACACGGTGTGACCTGCTTACGTCGGAACCAGACTCGCAAGTTCCAGCAGCGCTGAACTTCACAGGATCCGTAACAGGACCCCCCCACCTTGGAAGCGACATCAGACGTCTGTTGTTCTCGCCCAGGAGGAGCAAAGTTGACGATGAGGTACCTCGGCCGCTGCGTCATGGCTTGCCCCGTCCTCCATGACCAGGTGCGGCAACATGTCGATCCCTGTAGGTCAGCCATCAGCCCATGCCAGGCTTTCGTAGAGCGTACAGCTCTTCTGACAGGGATGCAAAGTACCTACATGTACCTGGGCAAAGATTCGTGAGTAAAAACTTGATCCTGGTTCAGAACATGGGAGAGCGAAAGAAGCAGCAGGCTCAGATCGCGACGGCCGAGACCTGCTTTACTCTACTCTCATTGTTGTATTATGGCGTAGCCGATGGTTTTCAGCTCCATGCATCTCCATCAAACAAGACTTGACTTTCGCGAACTAAACACATCAGACTGGTCAAAGACTGTTGCCACAACTTTTCTCGGCGCTTTGCGATCTGTGTTCAGCGTCCATCGCCTGCAGCCACACTGTCCCTCTCGTCCTCGATCGAGTCAAGAAACTATGTGCTCAGGTCACTCCAGCCATAGACAGCTGTTCCCAGGCCTCCGCACCTGCCGGTTCCCGACGCTTCCAGGCCAGTCAACGGTCGCCCCGAGCCTGCGAGAGCAACAAGGTTTCCCGGGTGTTTGGGACCATGACCCAAAGGACTCTCCCCAGAGGGGGCTTATCCCTACTTCATTCCGCTCTGCTTTTCGTACCGTCCAGGCGTTTTCCGGTACTCCTCCCGGCAATTCAGACGCCCTCGAGGGTCTGTGAGAAAACAATTCCTTAGGCTCGTGCCACGCCCAAGGTTGTCATTCAGATATGCCATCGATTCGGGAGTGTCTGCAAGTCCCCACCCCCACGCCATGACCCACGAAGTCGATGACATTGGCACAGCTCTAGCATGGAGGTCTATGGAAAAAATTCCTTCATTGGAACCGCCTCGTTCCCGATGCTTGAACAGAGGTAGTCTCACACTGTGTGTAGCTGCATTACAACGGCGCTAAGGATTCGTTTTGGGCCACCACAAATTGGTCGTCAAATGGTCATATGCAGCCGGATCCCAGGCATATACCTGCAGGTACCTTTTTAAAGACCAAACTGCACCCCTGCCCCTATTTCCGGGCTCGTGAGCACTTGACACTTTCTCCCTCTCGGCGAAGCACGAGTGCCTATTGTTCTCTCACGCCACTAGTGTGGGGATATCGGAGACTTTGCCTAGGCCGAACAATGAGCAGGCAGGAAGAAATTATGCCTGGGTTCCAGGTTGAGGCTCTCCCGGAGGACATCACCCCCCCGACAAGTCCCTATAAGTGCCTTGGAACCCCGTCACAGATTATCGAGCCAGGCCCTCTTCTGCATTCCATCTAGAGACAAATCCTGTATCCTTATTTCATATACCTACTGACTGCTTGTCGCTGGCCCTCAACGACGGCTGATCCATGAAATATCTTGGACACACTGCATCTCGTCATACATTAACACTACTTCCAACGCGAATTCTCGTTGCATCTGCCACGCCACCCCATCACCGGTTATTCTGCTCTGTCCACCGACACATCATGGCTCCTCATCACGACGCCTCGTCACCAACTGGCAGTTATACAGCGGGCTTCAACCATTTCTCGTTCAGACAAGCACAATCCTCAGAACTAAGAATGGGTGACATCAGCCCTACGGGATCGCAGGCTTCTCTGAGTAGCTCTTACGACAGTTCCACGCTCGAGCCGGCGGCCCATGCGGCTCGCCCACTGTTACCCGGGGTGTACGTGCCCACCATGTGCTTCTTCGAACCGGAGACAGAAGACCTTGACACGGACACGATAGCTCACCATGCTGTGCGACTTGCACGAGCGGGTGTGACAGGCTTGGCCACGCAAGGGTCCAATGGCGAGGCGGTCCATCTGACGCACGCAGAACGCCAGCTAGTCACTGCCACCACGCGACAGGCGCTTGACGATGCGGGTTTCCGTTCCATGCCCATCATAGTGGGATGCGGTAGCCAGAGCACGCGTGAAACCATCCAGTACTGCAAGGAAGCTTGGGCAGTGGGCGGTGACTACGCCCTGGTGCTGCCGCCATCCTATTACGCGCCCCTCTTTGCGCCGTCATCGGAGACGGTTTTGGAATTCTTCAACAAGGTGGCGGATGCATCGCCGATCCCCATCATTATCTACAACTTCCCTGGTGCTGTGGGAGGCATGGACCTTTCCTCCGATACCATCATCACGCTCTCCAGCCATGCCAACATCGTAGGCGTCAAGCTCACCTGTGGCAACACGGGAAAACTCAACCGCGTGGCAAACGCGACCCGACGACTATGCAAAAATTACGATGACGAGCGCCCTGAGTTCCTGGTCTTGGCCGGATCGGCAGATTTCTCCATCCAGTCACTCGTCGCGGGGGGGCACGGCATCCTGGCGGGACTAGCCAACATTGCACCCAGGGCCTGCATCCGGACCATCGAGCTCTTCCGAGCGGGAAAGGTTGCGGAAGCGCAGAAGTTCCAGGACGTCGTGTCCCAAGGCGACTGGACAGCGATTCAGGGTGGTGTCGTGGGTGTCAAGGCCGGATTGCAGGCCTGGATGGGTTACGGAGGCTCCGCTCGTAGTCCGCTGCCAAAGCCGACTGCGGAGCAGACAAAGAGGTGGCAGAGTGGTTTCAAGGAGCTGGTGCTCCTCGAGAAGACTCTATGAGGTGGTCGGGACCAAAGTCAAAGGCCCAACGGTCGTTGGCGCTTTTCGGGAGTTTTCCACCGAACGACTCACGAAGATGCGCCTGGCATGTCTTGCTTCGGAAGCAGACCAAAATGGCATTCCACAGTGCATTGGTACTTGGCAAGGAATATTCTCTCAACGTGTTTGTGTTCGAACGAAGAGATTTGGGCTTACCGCACGGCAGTGTGGTTTGTATTTCGTTCAAGGACGGGCGTCCGGCGTCTACTTTGAAGGCGGTGTGTCACAAGGCTTCTGTTGTCCATCACATGAGTTGCGAGGCACTGAAGAAGCAAAAGGGGATGGCATAGCATCAACGTCTCCGAGGCAAAGTCCACAGCGTGGTCGGTAGTGAGGCTGACTGACAATGTGCCTCTCTGGGGTCGTTGTGGGAGGCTTGTCCAAAAAGAAAGGCTTGTGTGAGACGAAGCCGACTGGAAGGTACGTTAATGTAGGAGTGCACTATAAGTGAGCAATACGAATACTTTTCGCCGAAGCCCTCCCGCGCCTCGTAACACGGCATGGACAGCCGACACGCCGGACTGCATATGTGGGAAGAGGAAGGCTACGCATGTAATTACCTCTTGGTACGGCACCAGAGATCTGAGATGACTGTTGCGGCTCGGTGGTTCAATTCAATTAGGGGGTTGTCGGTGGTGGGTGACTCAGCTGATGGTGGTGGGTGGCTGGCTGGGCTCCTGCCTGCGAAGCTCCTGCCTGGCTCTGGTCGTACCTCATGGCACCTACCTGTGTTCCTCGGGTCAAAAAGAAAAAAAAAGAAAAAACAACAACAACAACAACAAAAGTCGTGGTTTCAACGATACCTCTCGTGCCAGAGGTGCCCATCTTCCCAAACAAAGCTCGCCCTGCGTGGGTAGCTGCATCGCATGGTCGGCGTGGCATGTTTGTCTGGTCGCAATGACGACGCTGTACCGCCATGGCGACGCCCTTTGCTTCAACTCGTCCCAGTCTTTTTTTTGTCCAACGGGGCCGGCCAAGGCTCTCTCTGGTCCTCCCACGCGGGTCGCTGATCTGATCCATCGCCACTTGGGCTAGGAGCGACTTAAGGAAGGAAAAGCAAGACTGACTGAACCGGTGGTCTGTTTCTTATTTTCGACCCCTTTTGATTGCCCCTGGCACAATGGCGACATCCACCGCCTCTCC